CCCCAGGCTCGCGCTGCCAGCTGGTCCCCCGAGTCGCACTGAGTGGTCTCCCTGCTGCCTTCAGTCCCGAGCCCAGGGCCCAGAGCCGCCCTCAGCCTTCCCTTGACCCTGACGCCTTGGAGGGTTACAGGCCGGTCACTTTGTGCACCGCCCCTCCCTCCACTTGGGTCTCTCCGATGTCCCCTTGTGATTGGATCCCAATATGCATCTTTGGCACGAAAGTCACAGAAGTGATGCCACCTGCCCACTTCCTGCTGGTTTCCTGCCGCCAGGTGGCTCAGTGCCCGTCTGTCGCATGATGATACCCGCTTTGATCCCTCAGTTGTGGTGTCTGCGGTGGCCTCTCCCCTGGGAAGTTACTTTTTCCCGTCCTGATTAACAGGCGTTCTGTTGGGAGGTACTTTGAGGCTGTGTAACCATGCCGTCCCTCCCAGGCGTGGGCTGGGTGGCTCTCACCGCGGGCACACACACCCCACCCTGCTTGGGTTCTGATCCCCTAACTGGACACCTCTATAGGGTCCGCTCCTCCCACTCAGGCTCTGACATCCAGCTCTGGGCCTCAGTTTCCCCACACAGGCATCCCTTCCCTTCCCAGTCAGGCTCTGCCACCCCCGCCTGGGCCACCTGCCCTGCCTGAGGTACCTACTTTGAAAGTGAAGGGAGGAGGAGCAGCAGTGTGTGTGCTTTCGTGTCATTTGCCCTCGGTTGCGTTTCCGAGGTTCATCCACGCCACTGTGGAGCTGAGCTCGTTCCGCTTCTCCACTGCGAAGCAGTCCAGGTGCCGGTCAGGCTGCTCTGCGGCCACGGCCATGGATGGTCTCCGGAGCTGCTCCCATTGGGAACACTGCTGCTCTGTGAGGTCTGGTTACGTCTCCTGGGTTTATGTGTACCGTGAGTTGAGTTTTGTCCCCTCAAAAAAATTCCATGTCAAAGGGACCTCATGTATAACTGGGATTATTGAGATATAAATGGTTAAGATGATGTCATTCTGGAGTAGGGTGGGCTCCTAATTCAGGATGACAGGTATCTTTATAAAAAAAGGGGGACTTTAGGCATAGACACTCACACAGAGAGAATGTCATATGAAGGTTGGAGTTAGGCTGCCACAAGCCAGGGAACCACTAGAAGAGAGAAGAGAAGCCTGGGACCGCTTCTTCCCTAGCCCTTCAGGGGAGCACAGGCCCCCCGGCACCTTGATATCAGATTTCTGGCCTCCAGACACCCAGTTTGTGAAACTGTAACCGGAACCCGAGTTCGACTGGCTGTTGCCACACAAACCAAACTCCTGAGGCAGATGCTGGTAAAAAAGGAAAGAGGTTTATTCAAGTGCCAGTTGCCCAAGAAGATGGGGGACTCTTGTCACAAAGCCCATCTCAACATGTCAGTGCAGGCAGAGGTTTACATAAGTGAAGGAGGAAGTCGGGAGGGACAGAACCAGCAGGATGGCTGCACGAGATATTGCTGGCTCTGGAGGGGGTAAAATGGAGCCCTGAGTGAAGGAATGTGGGTGACTTTGAGAAACTTTTTCCGGTTCCTTGGAGCCACCAGGAGGGAATGCAGCCCTGCCAGCACCTGGGTTTTAGCCCAGTGAGACTAATCGCAGACTTCTGGCCTCCAGAAATATTAGATAATAAATTTGTGTTAAGTCACTGAGTTTATGGTAATTTGTCAGCAGCAATAGGAAATGAATGCGTACCACAGAATCGCTGTCAACCCTAATAAAATTCACGTTAAGTTCTTAGTACAGACTCATGCCCCTTTGTGTTCATTTTTCCACATTATGTCAAAAAATGTTTACAGTTGCTTGCTTGACTCTGGGTCCAAACCAGATCCCCACATTGCATGCGGCCGACTTGTGTCCTAAGGCCCTTTGGACTTAAAACAGCCCCCTTGCCTTCCGCCCCACCACATCTATTTGTTGAAGAAACTGGGTCATTTGTTCCATTTTACCTTTATTTGGGTCTCGTTAGCATCAGCCAGTGAGTTTCCTCGTTTAAGGTCCTGCACGCTTTGGTTGTGCGTGTCCCCAATCACTTCATACTCATTGATGTAACTGGAAAGGGCGGCTTTTCCAAATCTTTTCCCATTATTTGTTCTGATAAATAGAAATAGAATTGATTTGTCTTGTTGTTAATCTTTACCCGAGTATATTTTTTCCATTGATTTTTTTAGAGAGAGAGTGGAAGAGATGAGGGGAGAGAGAAACATCGATGTGAGAGAGACACATCGATTGGTTGCCTCCTGCCCGCGCCCCAACAGGGGCCAGGGATCAAGCCTGCAACCCAGGTACCTGCCCTTGACCAGAAATTGAACCCGTGACCCTTTAGTGCAGCAGCCGATGCTCTAACCATGGAGCCACCCTGGCCAGAGTGCCTCGATAATTTTAATTTATCTGTATATTTGCTCAGATTTCTACCTACACGGTCACGTTACCTGGAGAAAATGACTGTTTTCCTCTTCGCACTCCTCACTCCTTTCATTTCTCTAACGCCGGCTGTTCTGGCCGGGAGACCTCGTGCCTGGCGAGCGGAGGGGTTTACAAGCATCCGAGTCTCGTTCTCAGTCGTGAAGGAGGCCCTCGCTCTTCATGCGTGCGGCTAAGTGTGGTGTTTCCTGCGGACGGTTTATGTTTCCTGCAGGTACGGCCTTCGTTGGAAGCCCACTGCGGATGTGAGCTCACTGTGTTTTTCATGAAGCGTAAGCAGGAGTATCCATGCTTCTTTCCTGCACGTATTGAGTCGATCTGTGCTCTTTGGGGGAGCGCCCTGGAGTCTGTAGTGGTTTATATTCTGCGTGTGTCTGCAGGGTTCGCTTGTCCACGACGCCTTTTAAATGTGTCATTGGTGACTCGTTTATCTGGGAGAGGGTTGTTCAAGTTTTCTCTGACTTTTCTTTAGCTTTTTAAAATTCTGACACACGCCCGAGCCGGCTTGGCTCAGTGGTTAGAGTGCTGGCCTGCAGAATGAAGGGTCCCGGGTTTGATTCCGGCCAAGGACGCGCACCTCAGTTGCAGGTTCAGTCGCCGGCCAGGGTCGGGGCGCTTGCGGGAGGCAGCCAGTCGATGTGTCTCGCTCACATCAATGTTCCTGTCCCTCCCTCCCTCCCTCCCTCCCTCCAACTCTCTCT